TAACTCGCCTGAAGACGCTTGTTTTTATTCGTACCACTCGTTCAAACACAAACTCTCTGAGTGTCCGTCGCTGTACGTCTCAATTATTCATCCGTTAGTTTGAGCTTCTTTAGGCTCAGACTGCTGCAGGCTTTTCTCATGGCAGCCGCTTATTGTGGCTGGAAATATAATAAATACCAGCACATTTGTAATCATACGTTCATCGAGCCGCCCTGCACTCTTCCCCTGAAGCTGCAGAAACACCTGCTGCAAACACCTCATTAGGACCCAAAAGTTGAGGAAATTCACACCAAGTCCTTTAATTACTGACTAGAAAATAAAATTTTTATGAGTCAGTCATTGCAAAAAAATGTAGATAATGAACATGTTTAGGACTGCACATGTTGGGAAAACTAATATTCCAATATTTAGTTTAACTGCACTCACAATAAAACTTTTTAGCAGATGACTTTAATAACTCTTGTTTTGAAAGATTTAATCATCCTGGAATGATTGGGATTTTGTAGGAGAGTGAATCTGCATTGAAATTGATCAAAAATATTTTTTATAAAGCTAAAAAAAATAAAATAAATTGCCATATACTAGCAAATGCATCCAGAATTTATATTCATTTTTTTGCTTTGGGTGGCGTTTAGAGCTGGTTTTGCATTCGTCAAAATAATTAGTTGTCGTGGCANGCCCACGTTTATTTTTCCAGTGTTGGTGACACCTGTGGACACGTTGGGGGCCAAAAAAAATACAATTTTATAAAATACATTATCATAGAAATTCAACTTTTTTAAAATGATTTCTGTCATTCTAACTGTGTCATTCTGCACAAAGAAGATTTCTGAGTTCTCTCTTCTTCTTCATGGTTGTTCTGTTTCCGTAGACGTGCAGGACTTTATAATATTAAAAAAGAAGAAGAAGAAGAAGCACAGTGAACTAAAATGAAAACAGGAGCAAAAAACTGAAACTGCTTCGTTAATAAAAGCTAAAAATGTCACATATGCACCAGCTTGCAACTAAATTATGTGTTTTAAGCCGTTTATTGGTTGTTTGTGGACTGCATATACAAAAAATGTAAACGTTTAATCAACATGTAGGTCAGTTTTGACTCCGTCCACGTTAAAAAACACGGTGACTCTACATACTTTAGATATTTTACACTGCCTGCAGTTCAGATCAAAACTCTGAATTCTGGTCCAAAAATAAAAATGAACTGTTGATTTTAGGTGACTGTTTAAATGAGACGTGTAGAATAAAGTAAGTTGGATGAAATAGCACAATTTTAGGTCTAGATTTGGTGAAGTTTGCCAACAGAAGTCTGCAGATGATGAGTTCAAGGACCGTAGGAAAGTTAAACACCTGGTGATTCTTTTTACAACTTCTAGCTTCAATATTATGTCGTGCAGGTTTTTTTATTTTTTAATTAGAAAGACAAAATGCTTTTCTAACATACTGGCAGGTTTTGGGTTTAAGACTTGATTGATTAATGGTTCTAGTTTGAGGTTAAAGTATTTACCTCTCTTCTTTATTTCCTGCTGGAGCTCGTGACGGTTCATCAGTTTGAGGAGCTCCACCATCTCAAACCTTTTTGTGCTCCTTCAGCCTCTTAAGTGCTCGCTAATTGAGCAAATTAACATTTTTTTAGTGTGTGCGTGTTGAACATCATCCTCTCTTTCCTCTGACCTATTTGGTGGAAACTTCTTTTTTTTTTCTTCCACCTGCAGCGTGTGGACGCTCCACAGCAGCACAGATGGGTGATTCCCCCTCCGTCTCTGACAGCTAGGTTTGACGGAGGAGGAGGAGGAGGAGGAGGAGGAGGCAGGAGGGGAAACACCCGAAACAAATCGCAGCAGCAGCAGCAGAGAGGAAACCCTGCTGGAAATCAAATGGATGCGGGCGAACATACAAACACGCTCACGTGTGCGAACCAATCAGTCCCCTGCTGCTCCTGGCCGGCGGTTTCAAACTCACATTTTCGTACATGTATGAACGCTCCGAGGCTTTTCCATCGGCTCTCGTCATATTTTATTCATGGTTTGTGAATAAACACAAACTGAGTGGATGAGTGTGTAGACGTGGGCACTAATGCCTGTTTTTTTTTTTGTGCGAGTTTATTTCTGGCCAACCTTGTCTTGCACGATCGAGTCCTTTCCCTCCTTGTGTTGCTCTCCAGCAGGGAAAGGGAAGACACTCATACATTTTCATTAAACACTCTTAATCTTAATTCATTACTTATCAGGGAGATGTGTGACCTCATTAACATCGCCTCCTCCTCGCCGTCCGTCCCTCTCTCCAGCCATGTTTCCTCCTTCCCCGGTTTGTGTTTACGCTCTTTATCTGCTGCCCCTTCAGAGGAACCTGCGAGCTCTCGGCAGCTGAAAACGGCGTCTAATCTGAAAGTTAATTAAGTCTGTCTTCCTCCCTGCGTTGCTGTTCCTCTTCTCCTCTCAGGCATGTCTTTCTGGTTGAGAGACCGCTGTCACTCTCTTCCCAAATGAATTCGCCATATGTCCCATGTGGGCCGGAGCTGGAACACAGACAAAACCTTGTCCGTGTTTTACACTTTTTTTTTTTTTTTTTTGCAGGTCCTCGAGCCGCCGGTGACAGCACAAGACTGACACCATGTAATTCAAATTGACAGCATCTAATTAAATGGAATTAGGTGGTGTCAATCTTTAGATGTTTATAAAAAAAAAAAAAAAAAAAATCTATAAGGGGTATGTTTTCCTACGTATAGAGGAGAAATCCAAAGGAATCTCGCACCAGATGGATTGGAAGTAGAAATAGACTTGGCCGGTGTCTCGACACGAGGAAATGTGGATCTGGAACGGAGCTCCTAATCCTCTCCTCGTTCGCTTCTCCTTCCTTCTGTCGCTCCTTCGTATTCGTCCTTGCTCCCTTCAATCATCTGGGCTAATTCCCTCATCCAAAAATAATGACGATAATAATAATAAAAAAAGAGCCACTGATTGTTCCTGACTGATCTGTTTTGTCCTTTTCCTCGTTTCCTCGCAGGGGGCGGGATGCACGGCTCTGGTGGTTGCCGTGGTAGCCAGGAAGCTGGAGCTGACCAAGGCCGAGAAGCACGTGCACAACTTCATGATGGACACGCAGCTCACCAAACGGGTGAGCGAATGTTTTTTTTTAAAAAAAAAGGAAATCTGTCTCTGTGTGAAAAGTACAGTTTTGGTGTTTTTTTTGTTGTCGTGTTATTTCGGCGAGCGAAGGCGACGAAAGGTCATCTCCATCCGGCTCGCCGCCTTTCTTCTCCATCTCCTCCCTCCCACCTCCCCTCTCCTCTGACATTTGTCTCTCTTACAGTAAATCCCTTTCTCTCCCTCTCTCTCGATCCGTCACCTCTCCTTTTCTTGCCCCCTCCTCCTCCTCCTCCTCCTCCGGTCCCTTTTCAATTTTTCATACAGTTGAAAGACCCGAGTTTTAAAAATAGCTCCCCCGTATCAAATATGTAGGGTACATTATGGCAGCAGGGTTATCTGGGTGACGGAACGGGCCGGCGTGATCAATAATTTGAGCGTGGATAAAATATCGACAGAGGAGCCAAACACAGCGCCGGGTCAGCCGGAGTCTCTCTTCACAAGACAGTTAACACCCTTCAGTTGTGGCTCATGTGTGAACGTTTTCTGCTTTTAACCTTGAATTTACTGACATCTCCAGCAGCGGTTCCCTCCGTTTTCTGATTTTCCCATTGAAAGGGCAAAAAAAGCACAAAAATTGCACCATTTATACTGATCCCTGCTGACATCGTGTGTGCCCATTGGTTCCAATAGTGGAAAAATAGTCAAACTGAAGCTGGTACTTAAAAACATTGAAAAAATTGCCAAAAATCAAC